GAGCTCACCGCTGGCTCCGGCTTCTCCCTCAGCTCCCTCTCCTACTTGCCCGACAAGCTGCAGATCGTGAAACCCCTGGAAGGTGAGGGGAGGAGGGGGCTTCCCGGCATGTGGAGCTGCAGATGCCAGGAGGGTCCCACGACACCAGCTGAGCCCCCCTGGCTGTGTCCCTCCCCCAGGCTCTGTGACTCTGCACCACTGGCAGCAGCTGGCACGGCCCAACCTGGGTGGGATCCTGGTGCCCCGTCCCGGGGTGCTCACCAAAGACTTCAGGCAGCTGGACATCGACCTAGAGGAGGTCTACAGCCTCAATGACCTGGAGGAGGATGATGTGGATGCTGGCTCCTTCCAGCTGCTCCCTACCTCAACACCTGCCAAAGCCAAGGAGCGCCCAGGGGGTGAGCGCAGGGGGAGGGGGTGGAGGGGACCTGGCCCTCAGAACGTGCCTGCCCCCCAGCCCAGGCTGCCCCTTGCACCCCTCCGTGCTCTCCCCTCTTCCAGCCTGTCCCTGCCACCCTTCCCTTCCCGTGGGGATGCCCTGTCTGCCCCAGGGCTGTTCTCCAGCAGCTGCCCAGCCAGGGTGAGCCCTCTCTCTCGTTCTGCTGAGCACCCGCTGCAGCCCGGGTGTGTGGCAGGGACAGGCCTGGGACAATCCTCTGCTCTGCTTCCCTGTGGTGCTTGCAGACCCCTCCTCTGAGCAAGCACCAGGCCCAAATGCTGCTGGATCTGTGCCCCATGTATCAGCTTTCTGCTGGTGCTGGCAGCCCAGCTTTGGCTCTGCCCTCTGCCTGCAGCCCTGCTCTGTGGTCCCTGCCTATGTTGTGCCTCCCTCCCCCTTAATCCAGTGTCTCCTGTCCCTTCCAGTGTTCCTCTCTGTTAACAACCTCCCCCAGACCCCATCTACCTTCACCACTACCACTTGCCACATCCTCCACCCCATCACTGAGGTCACCACGGTGACACCCAGGTAAGGTGTGTGGCCCACCCACCGCCTGCACTGCCCCCCCAGCCCCCTCCATCCCTTCTCGCCCTCAAGCCCTCCCTCTCCTCCTTACCCCTGCCTGGCTGTGTGTGGCTCAAGGAAGCAGCAGCCCCTGATGCTCTGAGGCACTTGAAGTGTTCCTAAATCTGGCTGCTCAAGTAGTTGTGTGCCCAGGGCTGTGCACCCCCAGGGCGGGGCTAGGACCCCCCCTTGGCCTTCACAGTGCAGCATCTCAATGGGAAGAGGATGTCCTGGGGATGGTGGAGCAGCTCCTGGGGCCAGAGCCATGTTTGCAGACAAGGATTTCCTCCTCCCTGGGCTTGTGCATAAACCAGGACCTTTCCCTAGTCTGGGCTGGGAATGGAGCCCGCTGCTTAATTAATGAGCACTGCTGCTTAGCCCTAATGAGCCCCTCCAAGGCTTGTTGGGGGTTGGTGTGAGTGGAGTTCACTTTGCAGTTAAACAAAAACCCTGCATGTTTGGAAAACACTCATGGAACAGCAACCCTGTCCCATCCCCTCCTGCCTGGGCACTGTGGGGGGCACAGCCTGCCCTTCCCACC